GAACTATCCTTCTCCGCATTCTAGTTAGTTTGAATCCGGGGATTGCAACTTGGATAGAAACGCTCAACATATTATTATGAGAAAACTCGCTTTGCTGCCTGGAATCGATCGGTCAAGACGCCGACCGAAGTGCGGAGAACCGAGCTAAGCGGATAACAAGCATTCCAATCCATGCTCGTATTGGTTGGCTATCGTCTGTTTTACTGCAAGTGAAGTGTTTCAAAAATAAGATCCGCACCGACAATAACAAACAGGTAGTTCAACTATTTAACTAACGAAGCTCTCCCCGGATATTCATCAACTCCGCAGTCATTCTTCGACAGCATCAATTGGGTCAGAGGGAAAAGGGCTGAAAAGCAACAAAACAAAGATGCAGAAGACATATCTTTGGGCGCTGGTTTCTCTACTGGCGAGCTCGCTCGTCGATGCCAGGTCAGCAGTTTTTGATCAAACGCCTCTTGACATTGGAGGTAGTGATGACAGCTTCGATAGCATTGCCCGCATCGATCCCAATAGCAACGATTTGCTGAAATCAGAGATGGATAAAGTCATCGCCAGCTCTGAATTGCTTTCCCTGCATCGTGCTCTCGTTGAGATTAAATCTATCTCCGACAATGAACAGGCTGTGGGAGGCTTTCTGATGGACTACCTGTATTCCAAGAACTTTACTGTTGAGAAACAATTCGTCGACTATGACGATCCTACTGGCAAACCAATTCGCACCAACCGCCGTTTCAATATCTACGCCTATCCTGGAAACAGTGCTTCGCCAGGTATCATTTTAACAAGCCACATCGATACCGTCCCTCCATTCATCCCATACTCTCTGAGTCACCCGGAACCTGCCTCTTTCAAGAGAGAAGACATCCTCATTTCTGGTCGTGGAACCGTTGACGACAAAGCCTCTGTAGCTTGCCAGGTCATTGCCGCCATGGACCATCTGGAGAAACACCCAGACATTCCAATTGGCCTCTTATTCGTTGTCAGTGAAGAGGTAGGCGGCAGGGGCATGTCTACATTCTCCAACTCCCGTCTTAACTCGGGTACCTATCACACCATCATATTTGGTGAACCTACCGAACGTGCTCTCGTAGCTGGCCACAAAGGCATGGTTTCATTTACCATCCGTGTTCACGGGAAGCCTGCTCACTCTGGATACCCCTGGCTAGGCCGCAGCGCCGTATCTGAGATGTTACCCATTCTGACTGAGGTTGATCGACTTGGCGATATCCCTGTATCGCAGGGTGGGTTGCCTTCTAGCGAGAAATATGGGCGTACCACTTTGAACATCGGCTTCATGTCTGGCGGCGTTGCAGCGAATGTTGTTGCAGAGGAGGCTGTTGCGAATGTCGCTGTACGTCTTGCAGCTGGTGACCCTGAAGATGCAAAAGATATTATCTTCCGTGCTATTCGCAATGCAGCTACCAAACATAGAAAGGATGCTACTGTAGTTATCTCTAACGGCCTTGAGCGCCCGAAGGGGGACATCGAAGTTATCTTTGGTTTGGAGGCCTACGGCGTTGTCGATATTGACGCGGATGTTGATGGGTTCAACGTCACCACTGTCAACTATGGAACCGATATCCCACACTGGAAAATCTATGGCGACAATGTCAAGCGGTATCTTTATGGTCCCGGTACAATCTTCGTTGCCCATGGCAAGAATGAAGCTTTGACCGTTGGAGAATTAGAGGCTGGCCTGGAAGGATATAAAACCCTTGTTGCCAAAGCTGCTGAAAGAGAGCGCTCTTAAAGCCAGTTCAGCTCAAGTATATAAGCCTTTATAGCTGGGGTCACGGCTCCCTTGAAAGCTCGTAACACCAGTTGTATTATTTATTTGTTTGTGGATATAGAGTGAATATGAGAAATACAAACGCTTAAGAGCACATCTATAGAAGATATAAGTACAACAAGGAAATAAATACAATCACAATCAAGGTAGATATACTATGCCAATAGATGGAGGAAATTTTCGTTATTTTAGTCTGTGGCCTTCCATTCAGTTTTTCTCTTCCATCCCGTCTTGAACAGCTTTCCCATCTTAAATCGAGGGAAGATATGTGCTTCCGTATTAAACACTGTTTCCGTAAGTGGAATAAAGTCCTTGTCCGAGAATAGAAGATAGAAATATTTAAGGGTCTCTGCAAGCCAGAAGCTTTCCATGTTGTCTATCCTTCCTGGGGGTATCGTGTCAGCATTCGATAGTGATGTAAATGCCCGAATGTATGAGCTCTTTGCTGCTGGGGAATTATCGTCAGAGGTAGATTGTTCCGATGAACCATCTTGGTTCTGTTTAGGGGTCTCATCCTCGATAACGGCTGTGTGCTTTATGAAGCTCTTGAACATTTCCCAGCCCCATTCACGGTACATCTCGTCTTCTGTTATGCGATACAAGTAGAAGAGAGATTCGATAGTTTCCGGTCTCTGAAGGTTATGTCGGTCGGAAGGCTTGATGATAACATCTTCTCTCCATGCACTGTTTTTGTCGCCGAGAGGTTCAAGGGGTTTAGAAAAAAGGTATATACCTTCTTCTTTCGCTTTTCCTGTGGTTTTCTGGCCTTCCCCGTCCTCAGATTCACCCTTGGGCTTTGAAAATACATCGTCCATCATTCTTGGAGGCTTGTCTATGTCAAAATAAGCAATTTCGGGGGCTAACCCGGTCTCAGTCGCAAGATAAGTAGCCCAGCATGTTTTTACCAGTTCCTTAGCAAGGATAATTTCGTCTTCCTTCCGGCGGTTCCATCCAGGGGTTTTCCGAGCCTTAGAAAGAGGCAATCCCCCCGTGGCCCCAAGGGCTATTGTGCCAGGCAAAAAGCATACTAAATGGTCCATCTTCGGCATAAGGGGTTCGGTAAGCCCGCTCGGACGCTCTCCCACAATGGTCAATGAAGCATGTTTTGTATAGGTGATGAGATGTTTGCGGATACCTGCGAGTGCTTGGTTCCACATGTTTTCATATATGGGTTCTTCGCCTGATGTTTGTAAGAATTGCTTTATAAGGTACTCTAGAAATTGGTCAGTCCTCTGCTCGAATATTCACGAAGCATGATGAGCGAAGCATCTTACCATAGTAGGAATCTCCGCGACTACCTAGTCGGATGTTCTCGCCCATGAATTTACCGGTATCGGCCATGATGAAGATGGGCAGTAGTCCGTCCTGCATCTGATTCCCATCAATGATTTCCATGACCTTCTCCACCTTCTCCCAGTAATGGGTTTCCCCTGTCAATTTAGCCAGATACTTGAATTCAAGCTGCAAACTTCCGGCTTCTGCAGTTGAAGACGCCCCATTATCCGTGTGCGACCGTATGCCCTGGGACGAATTGAGATTAAAACTTGCGAATGGGATGCCAGAGGGTGATTCAAATGCGCCCAGCAATCGCTCTGCGAGTCCTGTGGCTTTCTCGATATACAGGTCATCTCCGGAAGCCCCGTCATCATCTTCCGCTAGCGGGGCAAGGTCTGGGTATGTTTTAGAGATGTAATGTGCAGATAGGAGGCCTCCCAGCATTCGTATAGTAGTTTCAAAGGTATTGACGTCCTGGTTTTGCTCGTAACGGAGGGAGTTTTGTATCCATTTTCGAGAGTTTTGAACCTGTGTCGTGAGATTCATGAGCATTAGGGTGTCAAGGGCGTCAACGATTATCCAACCCATGCCACCTTCGGCCATATTCTTCCCCTTTCTAGCCAGCGGCTCATATATATCCTTTCCTACATGCAGAGTCAGCCATTGATCAAGGGAACATTGTTCTATTAGCAAAAATCGTAAACTTCATGGAAGTGCATTGCCGCTTACCCCATGCATCCTGTTCATATCCTTCCCAACTGACGAGGAATGCATCCTTAACTCTCTGTTTCCTTTCTTCCCAATCAATTGTCTTGCCCTTCTCTTTTCCTGAAACTACGCCCTTCTCAAATTCCTGCATCCATTTCCACATATCTCCACCCTTCATCCCTATGGGCCTGACAATACGTGTGTGCCCTGATCTGCCGCCCAAAAACCACCATAGACCAACCAAGAATCCAATACATATGGCAACCCATAATGCTTTTTTTCGTTTCCGTCCACCTGAGTATGGTCCTCGAGATTTATAATACGGTTTGTCTTTATACATCGGTAGCTCTCGTGAAGGCGTTATAAAATTCCCTATCCTCTCCGTGAGTTGGATGCCGGACTGTTTGGCGAACTGGCTGTTGGTTGTGGCGGCTCGCCAGTACCCATCCTCTATTTCGCGCTGAGCAGAGTTGAAGGCCGGCACCCGGTTGGGGATTTGGAAAGACATTTAACCACACCCTTCGTCTAGTTTTCCTTATTTTCTTCTTCTTCTGTGTTATTGAACCCCCGGATATGCTTGACCAGCGTCACACGGAACGCATTCGGATGTTTCTCGAAGGTTTCTCGAAGACGAGAACACAGAGTAAGCTTTTCGACCTAGCGATAGACAAGTGTCAGCGATAGATCACTCAGGGGTTATTGGTTAACTATATCTATACAGGTGTGAGCCCTTCTGCTCTATTGTCAAATGCCATACAGCTGAAATGAATTGGTGATGGCTTATAGAGCCATTGGATCCCAAGGAGCTACCAAGGCGTAATTGTCGTAGGCGAGCGATCGGTATGGGCTTCCAGTAATCATCTAGTTAAACAATCCGTATGCCCGGTGATAAACTGAGATAGACCTATCCAGCAACTCAAAGAACTGTTTTATCGATGACAGTCCGTCCGTTCATGCGACCAGCTTTTTGGTGGATGTGGCATATTTGAATACCTCGGCTTGTTTGCACCGTTTGCAACATGTCTTCTTCAACGATTTACTATTACTTTGATCACACGAGCAGCTTCTAGGAGGAAGACAAGAAGAACATGATGCCATACCAAGGCGCAGTATACTATATAGAGGGGAAATAGGATACGAAGTGGTTTACATAGCAAGGGGCAGCCATATCAATCACTCAAGAAGCATGAAAACGCTTTGATGGTCATAACATGGATATCTACTTCTATAGCTTTTGATATTCCAGCTTTCCTTCGAGCTTCTTTGACTCCGCCACCTTCCTAACAGCCTTGTTAAAGTCGTCTTGGTTAATAGCATCTCTGTAATCTTTGATGGCGAATAGACCACTAAGCCAGTGTTAGAAAGTCTAGGGTCTCGTATATAATGTGTGAAGGGGAATCTTACGCTTCAGTTACCACGTTTCTCAAATCAGCTCCGTTGAGACCATCACTCATCTTTACAATCGTCTCAAAGTCAATCTCGCCTTCCATTGAAACGCCACTAGCATGGATTTTGAGGACCTCTAGTCGGCCAACTTCGTTTGGCAAGGGAATCTCAATTTTCCTATCTAATCGACCTGCTCGTAGGAGAGCCGGGTCAAGGGTATCCGGCCGATTGGTGGCCATGATAATCTTTGTTTTGCCGAGGTAGTCGAAACCATCCAGTTGGTTGAGAAGTTCCATGAGGGTTCGCTGGATTTCTCGATCGGCGGAAGTTCCCTCAGAGAACCTTCGGCCTCCGATAGCATCAATTTCGTCCATGAAAATGATACAGGGTTCATGTTCTTTGGCATAGGCGAACATTTCACGGATAAGACGCGCAGATTCACCAATGTACTTGTCAACGATAGCAGATGATACAACTGTTCGCTCGAATATTAGTAACTTGTGAGAAGGAATAGGCGGCCACAAACGCTTACCCTTCAAGAAATTGGTATCTAACGAGCTGGCAACGGCTCGTGCAAGCAGTGTCTTTCCGGTTCCCGGAGGCCCATACAGTAGTACGCCCTTGGGTGGCTTTATACCCACACGCATGAACAGCTCCGGGTTCTTGAGCGGTAGCTCGATGACCTCTCTTAACTCTCTGATCTGATCATTCAGGCCACCGATGCCGCTGAAGCTGACTTGGCCGGGATCTTCCAAGGACATGTTGTAAACGAGCGGATCGACCTCGCGTGGGAGCATTCGCATGATAGTGAGGGTCGTCATGTCAAGCGCTACTCGGGTTCCTTGCTTTAGTTTTGCCTTGTCAACCTTAGACCGGCAACCAACGACATATCTAGGGCCGGAAGAGGCTTTGACGATAACTAAGGGTTTATTAGCCGGGAGCTCAGGGCTTTAATATAAATCGCAGATACTTTTGGCTCCGAAGAAAGCCTTAGAACGTACATCTCTCTTCGTCAAGCTGCTTCAAGACCTCGCCGATGATCTGGCCAACACTCTGGAGAGCTTTGATATTATCTTCCGTAACATCGAATTCCTTCTGCAGCCCCTTTATGTCCAATCGGAGATTCTTCAATTTTGCTTCCCATTCTCGTGACTCTAGAAGACTTTGCTTGTAATCCTCCAAGGCTTTCCGTCTCTCTGGGTCGTCGGAACCGTCCATGTTGACAGTTCCCGGCTGCTAAGAAGGGTTATGTTGAGGCCGCGAACGGGTCAGGGACGTGGCTAAGAATGGAACAAAGTTAGTCAGGTATCAGTTCAACTAAAAATTCAGGGCCGCAGCGACGGTAAGATAGCTCTAATCCTCCTGCTGTTGCGTGTCGGCTCGTTGCTTGCTCACTTGTTGCTGCTTCGACTCCAAAAAGGCGCCAGCAGCTTCATCACCGATTATGTAACCAGATATTCAGCTGGTTGAAAACAGTGCAAACATTAATAATCAAGTAGTTTAGATTAAGGTGGTCCCGTGACTGTAAATTCTTGGCAGGGCATCCCGCTTCAAAAGTACTAAAACGGAAACTTTCCTTCCATCAAGTCAACATCGAGATCAGTTGTTATAAGAAAAGGTATTTCGGCCAACATACCTCCTTCGTATCTACTTATATGAAGAAATTTTTGTTTTTTTTTTCACTTACTAACACAAGCACTTGATATATCAGTAGCAACTCCTGGTTCCTACTTTATTCAATATGAAATGTATTTGCGGCTGGAGACTTTTATAACTACAACCTGCTATGTATATAGTAATGTATATATGTGCATGCTATATCTAGCCACAGATTGAACGAGTCTCAACTTCACCCCCGACAATAACTCAACGATCCCGCCTTTCAAAGCCGTGTTACCACCCATCAACTAGTCAGAATTAACAGGGTATATGATTACCAGGCAATCTTAGCAATAGGCCCCTTGGGGAATAGCCGCACTATTAACTTTCTAAACTCATCCATGCAGAGGATACCAACCGCCAGCGGAAGTGGTAGCAGCCAATGCTCAATGGGCACTGGAGCCGTGTTGAAGAGTTTGTTGATACCAGGTGTCTGGGTGACGAAAACTGCGATTGCCAGCGAAACCAGTACTGCACCTGCAAGCCAAGGGTTTCGACGCTGCTTTCGGATTGGATCTGCCTGCAGAATGGAAAGGCGCTTGTTTCGGATGGACAGTATGTTTCCCCATTGCAGAACCACCAGGGTGACAAAATAGACACACTGTCCAACGTTATTGAAGTTCACGAGTTCGGCTTTCGTATACCCATAGAATCCATCGGTGTATTTCTCATATGCAAACACGAGAGCATGGAATGGAATGCCAGCCTTGCGATACATATATAAGAAGAACATCGCGTGGGCACATACGGTTTCCATCACCCCGATGAACAGGTATGACTGAGCGTATATCTTGAAATTGATCAAGTGGTCCTTCTTGTGATTGCGTGGTGGGAGGCTAAGGAGGTCGAATTCTTCCTTCTCCATTATTAGCGACAGCGAAAGGAACAAATCTGTGAACACGCAGATGATAATCATCAAGAAGGAGCTGAGCGGAAGCGGGACACCGATGAACTGGTTCATAAGCACTGGCCATATCTCTGACCAACTTCCGGCAGGGAGGAGGTAACTGATGAGCTTCTGAAGATTCTGGAAAACAAGACGACCAAGCCGGACAGCTTGAATAATAGAATCGAATTTGTCCATCAGCACCAGATCTGCGGCCTCGATGGCAACGTCACTCCCAGAGACGACCGCAATTCCGACATCTGCTGCTCGGAGAGCAGGAGCATCGTTTACACCGTCTCCGGTGACAGCCACGACGTTTTCACGGGCCTTGAGCTCCTCGATAATGCGGAGTTTCTGCTCGGGAGTGGTTCGAGCAAAGACAATCTCCTCATATTGGCAGATCTTGTCCCAGTCATTTTGAGTGAGAGAGGATATCTCAGGCCCTTCAACCAGCAAACTCTTGGAAGAAAATGAGGAAGCCAGTTGGATGTTGTTCTTCATTCCGTTAAGAGAATTATCCTTGCTGTCAAACTCGGAAACACGGTCTGGGTCGGCAGTGCCGGAGAAAATACCAATATCACGCGCAATTGCAGTTGCCGTCAAGCCGAAGTCTCCTGTAACCATGAAGAATCGGATGCCAGCACGACGACAGGAGGCAATTGTCGACCTTGCTTCTGGACGCGGTGGATCGATAATACCGTACAAGCCGATAACCGTCAGGTCTTTGGTACAGTTTGTCTTGATCTCATTCCCAAAATAGTTGGAGCCAAGTGGCGCTTGAGGAGCATATTGTCGCTGACAGAGAAGGATAACTCTCTCGGCCTTCCGAGATAGCTTTTCCTGGAAACCAGACAACTGTCGTTTTGCTGCATCGTTCAGTCGCATAACTCTGTTTTCCTTTGCAGACCAGTACGAGGTACACATTGGGAGAAGGACATCGGGTGCGCCTTTTACAAAAACTTCGTAACTGGACGGATCAACCGTGCCGTGCGGTTTATGCATTGTGAGCATCCACTTGGTCTGCGAGTTGAATGGGATTTGGAACACCCTGTCGGTTTGGGAAACAATACCCTTGGATGCCGACGCCCCTTCTGCAAGGCGAAGAATGGCACAATCTGTTGCGTTGCCGTTGATGGTTCTCTCGTTAAGAGGCTGGCTAAGGGTACCAGGCTCGAAGAAAGCGTCATTGCAGAGAATAGATCCACGATGGAACTCCGCCAGAGCGCTACCACGCTTGCCCTTGTTCACTTCGTCGTTGAACTCCTCGATGGTATACTCCTGGTCGACAAGGCCAATCGACTTAACGGTCATCAAGTTCTGAGTCAGTGTTCCAGTTTTGTCAGAGCAGAGGACGTTGACACAGCCAAGAGTCTCGACGGTTGAAAGGCCTTTGGGCAGGATGTTGGCAGACTTCATTCGATGGGCAATCATCATCATTGTGAGGGCGACTCCAACGGGCATACCCTCAGGGATGAAGGCGACCACACATCCTAGAACGTTGTTCAACATCGCCACGACATCCATGAATCCGGCATGTTTAATCCTGATCCAGCCTACCCAGCTAAACAGAAGCAAGGAGGCCAGTACACAAGTCAAACCGACGATAATGCGGACAAAACGGCTGATTTCCTTTTGGATCAATGTCGGCTTCTCTTTGACATTGGTGGTAACCATGGCAATGCGTCCCATGAGCGAGCGACCGCCAGTTAAAACGACTACTCCAACGGCACGGCCATTTGTGACACCAGTACCCATGAATGCAATGTTTCGCGTCTCTAGGAAGTTGTGTTCAGTTGCGTCAAGGGCACCTTCAACTTCGTCGGACTCTCCAGTGAGCACTGATCTGTCAAAGCGGACATCACCAGAACTGGAAATCAACCTCATATCTGCCGGCACCTTGTTACCAGACGAGATGTGAACAATATCACCAGCTACAAGCTCGGTAGCTGGAAGTCGAATGATGTTTCCGTCACGAAGTACCTGTGCTTCAGAGGGAAGAAGGTCGAGGATGGAATTCATCACACGGCTGGTTGACCAGTCCTGGAAGGCCGAGAAACCAGCTTGAAGGAAGATGACAATGAGAACCAGAATGGCCATACCCAGGTTCGCCGGAGAGGGAGGGTTGCTAAGGGGCTTCCAGCAGACGAAAAAGATGATCACACCCACCCACAGGACGGAGCAGAAATCACCAAAGACATATCTTAGGATCTTGCGAAGGTAGTTTGGGCGACGGCGAGGGATTGTGTTTTTTCCATCTCGTTGAAGACGAGCACTAGCGGCCTCGGTGCTGAGACCTTGTTCAGACGAGACGTTGAACTGCTGGCAAAGCCTCTCTCGAGGAAGAAGATGGAAGTCAAACTTCTCGAAGTACTCCTTGTCGGTATGGACGCTTGCACGGCCGGAGTCTCCCTTGACGATCTCGGTGGTGGCACGGCGAGATTCGCTGATTTGAATAGATAGCGTACGGAACTCGATTGGGATACCGGTAAGGGGGTTGCCTCCAGTGCCTCCGCGAGCGCTGCTGAAAGAGTGACGGCTTCTGGAGCGCGACCGACGGCGCTCACGCTCACCAGAGGTACGACGGTTTGGACGTTCATCGTCTCCCTTTGGCTGCTGGAATGTGATGCGTCTGGGGTTTTCAGAGCCGGTTTTATCGTCAGAATCAACCTGACCACGCTCTCCCTTCTCTATATCGGCCGGCTCCTTGTCGTCGCCAGCAGGTGTTTCATCTTGGAGAGGCATTGTGCTGCGATAAGGGGGCTTAAAAAATACAAGCCCAGGATAACTTTTGATCGATTTGAGTGTCAGGGGGGGATTGATTTGAGGATTTGAAAAGACGCTTAAGATTGGAGATGGGGGAGACGGTCGCTCAACTTTCAGGGTCGATGCTGGCCGTATTTATATACACTCAGTTGAGCCTACAGCTCGTGACATCCAGCTGCCGACGAGAACCAGGAAACAAAACAAAACTGGTTGTGCGAATGAGAAAAGGGAAGAGAAAAGAAAATTCTACCCCATACGTTATGACAGCAAGCCAACACCCCCTCCTCTCGCTTCACGGTTAGGCCAAAGGAAGGCTTATGATGATGAAGAACGGCGTACGGGCCGCCTAACTGAGGATAAGTACGGGCAAAGAGGACACCAATTTCCCATTCACGAGCAGTCGAGCTCCATTCTCTATGGTTAGGAAGCGAGCTTAGACAGACATGGATGAATTCCGAGCAACGGCAACGGCAACGCCTCCTGTTGTGTGGGCGTGCGTATGTGTGCGTACGGATGCAACACACCGTCCACGGCCCCCATACCTCCAATCCCAATCCCGACGAGGTTTGATATCGCGAGCTATCAGCTAACTAACTAGCCGACTTTAACTAGCCCCTGGCAATAAATGCCTCATACTATGTACGACTCAGCTTCCTTTTTTATCATATACGGCCTTTGACACTTTGATGGATCATCAAAATATTATTTTATATTTTTTTTTGATATTAACCCTGTGGCTATTCGCTGGACTAAACTAGCCATGTGGAACCCGCCATGGCTTTCCCGCACGCACGGCCCAGTGTTTGAGCATCATCTCGTGGCGCTTGATCGTGGAAATTGCATGGGTTTGCATGGATCTCGTCGATATCAACACACGCCTGTTGACGCCAGTCCCCGTTTTGGTAGTCCCAGCCGGAGGACACAGCCACAACGCAACGTCCCTCCTGGATGCCGACGAGTAGGAACGTTTGAGATGAATTCCGGTGCAAACCCTGATCCCGGCACGTCCAGTTTATCGGGAGAGGAGAAGAGAGCAGAGTCAACATGAGATTACGATGGATTCAGCTCGTATTACAATGGGCGGCCTGCGCTTGTACTTGCATGATGCCTTATCTCTGACCCTGACAGGTGACATCACAAGGATGGCTGCAATGCAATCCAACCCACAGAACACGCACAGTCACTTCTTTTGATGCAGCTCGGAGCATTACAGTGCGAAGGCGAGAAAGCAGAAGAAGAGGAAAAAAACCCGACTGAAGGTAAGTTGCAGCTAAGTTTTTAGCCTCCGAATGTAAATATTTAAGCATTTTCAGCAGATGTTCTTCATGAACTCTGATTTCTTTTAGCGTAGCTATCATTCGCTGCGAGTCGGCAAAGAGAAGCTTGGATAGGGGGTGATATTGGTTTGCAACCTTGGGAATACAGAGAGCCTTCTAGACAAAACGGGCTGGCTATCCGCCACCGCCATCTCTCTGGCCATCCTCAGCGCTGAGAAATAAATGTTCAAAGGGACAGCTATCTATCTGTTTGGCAGTGAAATTTGCATTGCAACAAAGAAGAAGCCCACCTCAGATTCTGGCCCCCCTTTATCGACTGGGGGTGGCAATTTCGCGCATAATGCAAGATCCGCAGTAGTATGACAATCGCGCAAGGAAGAAACGGAAAATTCTGCGTCTCCATGGTAGGATTTTTTTCGTTCTCCAAAAGATATACATAGAACCAACTGCGAGCCGGCTGTGAATGGGCCCGGCTGGACCCTAAAACCCATCAGTGGACCAGGGACACAGCGAATATAAAACCGTAGATGAAAGGGCGTGGAGAGATATATCTTCATGGCCAGCCGGTTCCATGGTTTTCTAGTTACTTTGCTTGAAAATCACCACAAGTATATATTTTTCTGCGGTTTACCAGTCTTCACCTTCTCGACTTCAGGTAGAGCAGTGTGATAGCCTCCACCTTCTTATCGTCTTTTCAACTCTCTCGCAGCGAGCTCACGGCTACGGAGGACGGAGCACATCCAACGTTAATACGAGTTGAAGACTGCGAGATCCGGTGAAAATGCTCGTCGTCGAGTCGCTTTGCGCGCGGTCAGACAAGTGTGGGATGACATAATCTTCTGACATCATAATGATGACTCATCAATAATCACATGATATGATTATATAACAAACATTCATCGATTACTAAGTATTATTAGATCCATTCCATAACGCTATATCATGTGAGACAACACGTGATAACGGAATATCTCGGACCAAGGCCGCCCGGAGCGGGAGGATCCGGGCTCTCCTCCGCTGTTCCAGAAGAGTAAGGTGTGTATACACGTGACCCCTCTGAAACCCGCCCACCACTCTATGTACGAGCCCTCCAGGCGATCGGTAGAGAAGTAAAAGAGGCAGAAGAAGAAGAAGAAGAAAAAGGCCGTCTAGCAAGGAGAAAAGGTCAAAGAAGAAGAAAGGAAGTTCTGCTGTCTCTTTAATACCTCAATTGCGCCCAGACAGCCAGCCGAGACACGCATTGGAGACGCAGGTCAGCATATTAAGTCATCCCATAGAGCCAACTACCTAGTTACTAACTAATGGTTAGGCCTGCCCCTCCATCTTCCCCCACCACCAACTTCTCCCCGACATCCCGGCAGGACAGGATATATAAACCACTGAACCGCCTGGACACTGACCAAGCCCGTCATCTTCACCTACAATCACCACTGACCAACCGACTGAACCACTGCAAACACCGCAGACATGGCCATTACCAAGATCCACGCTCGTTCCGTCTACGACTCTCGCGGCAACCCAACCGTCGAGGTCGACGTCGTCACCGAGACTGGCCTCCACCGCGCCATCGTCCCATCTGGAGCTTCCACCGGTTCGTATCACCGATGACCAGCTGTACACTTCTCTCGTCTGCTGCCATTGAAACGCGTGATATGCTAACGGGACCCGCAGGTCAGCACGAGGCTTGCGAGCTCCGTGACGGAGACAAGTCCATGTGGCTTGGAAAGGGTATGAGACGCGCCCTCCTCCCTCTTCCTCCCATTATATCAATCAATGGCACAGCTAACAGGGCGTAGGTGTCACCAAGGCCGTCGAGAACGTCAACACGATCATTGGACCAGCTCTCATCAAGGAGAACATCGACGTCAAGGACCAGTCCAAGGTCGACGAGTTCCTGAACAAGCTCGATGGCTCTGCCAACAAGTCCAAGCTTGGTGCCAACGCCATCCTCGGTGTCAGTTTGGCCATTGCTAAGGCCGGTGCTGCCGAGAAGGGTGTCCCACTGTACGCTCACGTCTCCGACCTTGCCGGCACCAAGAAGCCATACGTCCTTCCAGTGCCCTTCCAGAACGTTCTAAACGGTGGTTCTCACGCTGGTGGCCGTCTCGCTTTCCAGGAGTTCATGATCGTCCCAAGGTATGTGTCATCAGCAATTAGCCGCTTCTAGAGACAGTACGCTTACCTTGGTAGTGCCGCCCCATCCTTCTCTGAAGCCCTCCGCCAGGGTGCTGAGGTCTACCACAAGCTCAAGGCCCTTGCCAAGAACAAGTACGGCCAGTCTGCTGGTAACGTTGGTGACGAGGGTGGTGTTGCTCCCGACATTCAGACCCCCGAGGAGGCTCTTGACCTCATCACTGAGGCCATTGAGCAAGCTGGTTACACCGGCAAGATCAAGATCGCCCTTGACGTTGCCTCCAGCGAATTCTACAAGGCCGATGCCAAGAAGTACGACCTTGACTTCAAGAACCCTGAGTCCGACAAGAGCAAGTGGCTCACCTACGAGCAGCTCGCCGACCTCTACAAATCTCTTGCTGCAAAGTACCCCATTGTCAGCATCGAGGATCCCTTCGCCGAGGACGACTGGGAGGCCTGGAGCTACTTCTTCAAGACCTCTGACTTCCAGATTGTTGGGTATGTGCTCGTTTCTTCTTTTTAGTTGACCAGAGGATGAAGACTAACAAGAGGTAGTGATGACCTGACTGTCACCAACCCCCTCCGCATCAAGAAGGCCATCGAGCTCAAGTCTTGCAATGCCCTCCTGCTCAAGGTCAACCAGATCGGTACTCTGACCGAGTCCATCCAGGCCGCCAAGGACTCCTTTGGCGCCGATTGGGGTGTCATGGTGTCCCACCGTTCCGGCGAGACCGAGGACGTCACCATCGCTGACATCGTCGTCGGCCTGCGCTCCGGCCAGATCAAGACCGGTGCCCCTGCTCGCTCTGAGCGTCTCGCTAAGCTCAACCAGATCCTCAGAATCGAGGAGGAGCTCGGTGACAACGCCGTCTATGCCGGCGAGAAGTTCCGCACTGCCATCAACATCTAAGCGCAGTTTTGCTGCCGATAAGTAAATCGAAACCTATGCCCTGCGCGCGAGAGCTGTCTACCTATACACCAGCCCGGCAACAGTAACCATCCAACGAAGTGACGAACTGGGGGGACGTAGTTAAACAAGCAAGCAACCATGCTGCTAACAAAATATATGTATTAGAGAAATGAACCAAAAAAATTACGAGTTAACCTCGCCCTTTTTTACTCCGTAGTCTCCGGTCTTTGTTTCTCTTATCTCCAGGCCCGGCTTATTAATCTCACACGTGACTCCACCCCGCCAATGACGCTTCGTTGGGCAGGAAAAAAAAGCGACAGAAAAGAAAAAGCAGAAAAAAAAAAGAAGAAGAAAAGGACGACGGAACTTCGCACACACGCGAAACGCACAGAGAAGACAGAGAGCGAGCGAGGACGTCTTGACATCGATCAGGTAGTCACCTTTCGGTTAAGCATCCAAGAGATTCTCGATTTGCGATATCCAGCGAACAACCAGCCAGTGCGCCAGCCAACTCCCCCACCACGAACACCCCAGACTCCGTCGACCACCGGTACGACCAGCAGCAGCATTTACAGCCAGCGACCAACGACCACCACGGAATAGAAGAGAGAAAGCGATATCAACTAGAATCAAGAAGAAACAAAGCCTAGCAATCATGCCGCCGTCAAAGTGGGGTAAGCATCTCTTATCCGTCGGATGTTCCTGAGAGTGTCCATATTGTCCCTATTTCCAGGCTGTAGCCGTCGTTCGTGCGAGGGAGAGTTTAGTTACCAGGGTTCTCTCGCGTGGATGTGTTGGCAAGCACATCAGCTACATTATCATACATGAAGCACGAACACCTTGCTTGGTTAAACCTCCGGAAGAGCGGTGAGATTGGGACAAGTGGGATGGACTGGAACTGGCACAGGATGATGACTCTTGAGAGACTGACAGGGGCTGACATGTTTCCTTTTTTCTTTGTTTAGAAGATGAAGAGAGTACGCCTCCATCATCACCACCACCAGTAGCTGCCGTTGCGCGCCGCAAGTTTGATGACGAAGAAGACAGTGACGATGTATGTGGTCTATTCTTATCTTTAGTTTATGAAGGTATTATCGGCGGACTAACAGGAAATAAATAGGTTCTCGATGACTGGGAGGCTGCCGAGGACAGCGAAGTTGAGCGTGAGAAGGCCCAGAAGGCCGCTGCTGCCAAAGCAAAAGCCGAGGCCGAAGCGTTAGCAAATAAGAAGAGCCGCTCCCAGCGAATAGCCGAGCACCAGGCCGCCGCTGCACGACGACGAGCAGAGCAAGAGTCGGAGGAAGAAAGCGATTCTGAAGAAGATCTAGCCGCCAAGCGTGAGAAGCTACGCCGAACCGAACAAGATGCGGACCTGAAGCATGCTGAAGACCTATTCGGAGACATCGACTTGAACCGCACCCGCAACCGCACCGCACCAAGCAAGAGCGTGATATCAGATGCCAACGACCCGACCAAATCCATCGATCTAGCCTCAATTCCTCTCTTCAAACCCAGCACAAAACTACAATTTACGGCCCTGACCAATGCCCTCGTGCCACTACTAACAGCCCAGGCCAAGAACCCAGCATATACCCTCTGGCTGCAGGACTTCACCAAGCAACTAGTCAAGGATCTCCCCAGCCAGGAAATCAAGAAGATTGCCAGTGCCATGACGGCTGCCAGCAACGAGAAGCTCAAGGAAGAAAAGGCGGCTGATAAGAGTGGAAAGAAGACCAAGGCCGCTAAGACCAAGACTAGCCTTGTTGCTACTCGTGGAGCAGACCTAAACGCTTATGATGATGTTGGTGACGATCTTGGAGATGACGATTTTATGTGATTTTCTCTTCATCTGCTTCGTTTGATATATCCCTGAGTTAACGATCTGCTAATATCCCTACCTCGCCCTGTTTTTTTTAATCCCCATACCATATCACATATCTTTCTACCTACTCCATACGCTCTGTCCATCTACAATCTCTCTCTCTCTCTCTTCTTTTTTTTTACGTGTTTACCTCCCTCCCTTTCATCAGCAAAAAAGTTTAGACCATGGCAATCAAACAGCCATCCAGCAAGCACATTTCACCTATCTACCACAGACCAGATTGAGACAACAGCGTGCCTACCTACCTATCTATCTCCTTATCTCGCATACCTCCTCCTACCTTCCGATCCAGTTTAGCTACGTCTTATTTAGCATGCTAGCTTGCCTTTTGTTAGGTTATCATGTAGATGTCTTTTTTTTCTATCTACCGTTTCTTTACTCATTTAGGGTCTTCATAGAACTGTTCGATTAGCTGTATGAACTTCTTCAACTTGATGTCATCCCTGAGTAACCTGGCTGTCTGCCATGTTTATTACATATGTCCTTGCATCTAAGTAGAATATCATACGGGGCCTCGGGTCTGACATGTACGACAGGCTGACGCACGACATCGATGCCTAGATCTACATCTCTGCTCTACCCCTTTATCCTGCACACACATACGCACTGCCAGCGGACCCTTACAAGATTTAAAATGCCCATCTTATCATCCTTCTCTTCCGCTTTTTCTTCCTTTTCTCCTAAATTAAGGAGGCTGTGCCAGTCACATGACATGGGGCTCGAAAAAGAAGGGTACGCAGCGCAGTTGATAGAAGCCCGACAGTCAGGAAGATAATACGCGAGGAGACGGAGAAAGCAGATGATAAATGGAAAAAGAGACGGCATGACAAGGCTGTGCGGGTGTCATCAGGCTGTTTGCCAGGGTACTCTAAGAGGGAGAAGCAGAGGGTTGTGTATAGTTAAGTTATATATAGCAGCAGGAGGTTGACTTTATCGTCTCCCAGCGACGACGGATGACAGGCTGCCTGGCGTTTCATAGGCAGCACGCAGAGTCAGCGACATCCAGGCCAGGCAGACAGGCGCTTAGCTCGGAGACAGGCTGACTCTCGTTGCTCTTTATCGAACAACAGCCGTAGTTAATAGTGGTAAGTCACCAGGCAGAAGAAGGGTCAGTGAATGTAGATGTATGTAAACGACAGTTCAGAGAAGCAACGCCAGCATCAGCAGTAACTCGTGTAGCACTCGAGAGTAGATGTAGAAAAGGGGAAAAGAGGCCACTGGTATGCCGTCACCTCCATCAGGGCGCGTAGAGGCGTCGAGGAGCAGAGGAGCAAAAGGAGCCCTGCCCGGCTGGCTGTCATGTCACAGTTAGCGCTGGGGGGGGCGCTGCTCTGCGCTGCTCTGCTCGCTAACAAGGCAGAAGCCGGCCAAAGAAGACGAGCAGACGGGCAGACGACGATGAATTAATAAATAGAGGCTGCCTCTGCGTCTTCTTTTCTTCTCTTCCTCTCATTCTCTCTCGCCATCGTCTGCTCTGCTCCTCTGTGGCGGTCCAAAGTGCTGCTAAACCGACCCTGTTGCTGCCCTGTCGTGCCTAGCCAGACCCATCGTCATCTTTTTTTTCCCACACACCTTTTCGCCCATTCGATCTTCGTCCTTCTTCCTCGTCCGCCAACTTCAGCAACAAACAACAACAACACCAACAACACCAACAACAGCCCGCCAGCGCTCGCACAACTCGACTCTCTCTCCCAACAGGACTCAACTCGTCGTCTTTCTTCGTTCCGCTGATAAAACCGTGCTGTACTTCTACTCTTGTTTCCTTGTGACTCGCAAACTACGTCGATTCCGCCGTTCAATATGACATCTGAGGTACGTTTTTTTTTTACCCCTCCCACAACCCGTCCCTCGCGTCCAACAGAGACGCAGCAAGACCAGCAGAGCCGGCTGGGTTTGTTTTTATCTGCTGTTCTACTGCTTTGATATGCTCTGATACTGATGTGTCTCTTGACTTGTTTTTGCAGCGTGAGAGGTAAATGATGGATTCCCGCGGGACCCTCCCTTTTTCTGCCTTGGGATGGCCTGACTGACGGACGAGCAGCAAAACTTTCCTCGCGAGGCTCTGTGAGCAGGCCGAGCGCTACGATGGTAAGATAGTGACCTCCTGGAGCGAAGAGATGGCCTTTCTTCGCCCGTTCTGCCCGCGTCGTTGGATAGTTTTGCTGACTGTTTGGTCCCTTGGTGGCCGTGTGCAGAGATGGTTACGTACATGAAGGTAAGCCAGCCCAAATCACATCCATCACGCATCACGCATCAGAACACTGCTAACAATCTCTCCAGGAAGTTGCCAGCGTATGTTTGACTCCTCCCGTTCACGTCTGGGGTGCATGTTCGACGTGATACATCTATCTGGACCCCCTGTGGTCCCTGGCGATAAGAACTAACCCTGCCTTGCCGCACTCTCTAGCTCGGTGGTGAACTCTCGGTTGATGAGCGCAACCTCCTCTCTGTCGCGTATAAGAACGTCGTTGGCACCCGTCGTGCCTCATGGCGCATCATCTCCTCCATCGAGCAGAAGGAAGAATCCAAGGGCTCTGAGAAGCACGTCCAGGCCATCAGCGAGTACCGCCAGAAGATCGAGCAGGAGCTTGAGCGCGTCTGCCAGGATGTACTCGATGTCTTGGACCAGTCTCTCATCCCCAAGGCCGAATCTGGCGAGTCCAAGGTTTTCTATCACAAGATGTACGTCTCCTTGATTCTGCAAAAAGATAGAAAAAGTATACTCATGCTCTACTACAGGAAGGGTGACTACCACCGTTACCTCGCCGAGTTCGCTTCTGGCAACAAGCGCAAGACCGCTGTCACTGCTGCCCACGACGCTTACAAGGTCAGTGCTTTACCTCCCGGGATCCAGGATCTCCCCCCCTTTTCTCCATTTGTTGGCCTCAATCTAACGTGCCTAGAACGCCACCGACGTCGCCCAAACCGAGCTATCCTCCACTCACCCAATCCGCCTCGGTCTCGCCCTCAACTTCTCCGTATTCTACTACGAGATTCTCAACTCTCCAGACCGTGCCTGCCACCTTGCCAAGCAGGCTTTCGATGATGCCATCGCCGAGCTCGAGTCTCTCTCTGAAGAGTCCTACCGTGACAGCACCCTGATCATGCAGCTCCTGCGTGACAACTTGACCCTCTGGACCTCGTCTGAGAGCGGTGAGCCTGAGCCAAACATGCCTCAGGGTCAGCAAGCCCCTGCTGAGGGTGCTACCGAGGAGAAGAAGACTGAAGAGGCCCCCGCAGATGATGCTGCTGCCAAGACCGAGGAGCCCGCCGCAGCTACCGAAGCTAAGAAGGAAGAGCCTGCTGCTGAATCCTAAACAGCGATTTCAACAGTCAGAACCCCAGGCTTTACAGGTGACCGAACTGGCACAACGGCAGAGATTATGAACGTAAAAAATTAACCAATAAAAACACAAAAAAATTTCCAAAAAAAAGCCCATATCTCTCACCTTCCCATCGTCCCCGTATAGCCTTGATCCGTGTTCTATCCTGGCTCCCCTTTTTCACTTATTACAATATTCCCAACATCCGACTTCCATGTCAAATTCCCCCTTCTTTTTCCTTTCTTTCCTTTCCTTTTATCTCAAGGGTTGTCTTATCTTCTGCTGGATCGGCGGAGTTTTTAAAGCACTTGGAGAAAGACTTTATGTCTGGACAGATCGGAACCCCCCTGTTATTTCTTTACACTATCCCCTAAACTACCCACTGCCTTCACTTCCCCCCATACCACACACCACACCGCACACATTGCCCCCATTCCACTGGCACCGCTATCCAGTCTTGTCCTGCTTGTTGTCCTCGGAGCTTTGCGGCCCTGCTGAGTCAGCTATGCATCACATAAATACCAGTAACATGACCCTAACAAACTTGTACTGAACCCAAGTTACTGCTTTCTGCTTTGGCGTCCTGTCGTCACGAGCACTGTCTATGCCGCTGGAGTAGATATTTGTGAATGCATAATCGGTTAACATAGTAGCTTTCACAGTGACAAGTTTAATATAAAACAAAGCCCCTTTACCTTTATACATGTCCAGTGATTTCTATAGATCAGTAGTTAAGTAGGGTCCCAGTTAAAGCTTGTTAAATCCATAATAACATATCTAGTACGTATACCTCTTATATTACCTGTTGAGACACAGGCCGAATCATCCGTTTCATCGATTCTGTACAAGAAAAAGCATCCACCTTTCGAGTCACTAACTAATATAAGGTTGATCTGCACTCAAAAGCTTAGGTATAAGGATGGGGTTTCTATTCTTGGTGACAAGTCAGCCCCATCTGATTAGACAACCTAGACCTCTCAGCTCCCCAAAGGTAGGTTGCTTTATCTATTAGTATATTTCAATAACTACCACAATATTGACTTCACGGGTCTCCAACCTTTGATACCCCTGGACAAATGGTTCTGGTTCCAAAGTACAAACTGAACTACCAACTAGTTATCAACGATTGATTGAAGTAAAGGGGGTTACAGTGAATCACGGTCTCCCTATGGAAATATACAACAATTATTCGGGGTAGTATATATACGAGAGACATATTGTAACCAGGTAAAATGCGATGCTCCGTACTGAAATGACTGAAATGCCTGGTGCCAATAGAGTTAAGGCTGCGGGCTCAACATCAGCCCTAACCAAACCTTGATGTCGCCGGCATCGTTACCGCAAACTTAAATTGTTCAGCATAAGCTGAGTTGCATTGGGGGTATTCTACCGGCATTTGGAGCTCAAGCAGAGCTATATAGCTGGATTGAGCGGCGTGGATTAGTATGGAACTGGGAAAGGCCTCAGAGTCATCAATATAATATTGTAGACTGTTGTGTATTATATGCAAACAGGACGCTCCATCGTACTGACTGACTAGTTACTTATATTTTCAAGAATCTCAGATACATTTGCAAAAGAAAACTCAGTCATGGTTTCTTCCCAGAGTAGCTCAGCCACCTCTTCGCCCTTATCTGTGTATACGAAAGGCGCCATGCTACCGGGCTCGATTAGTATTTTATCACGCAGGGGTTAATGAATATTTGAATACTTACGGCTGTACCACCCCGTCTTCTAGGTATTGTCCATGAGACTCTGAACCATGATTAACAACTGCATCGGTAATTGAGCGAGCACCAATAGCAGCGGTACGGGCAAAGATAAGTCTAAATATGTCGAACAGAATCCCTTGCAAGCTGCCCTTGAAGTTCCTAGTTAAACTCGTTTGACAAAGACCTGGGTTAGGGGTATTTATGATGGCGATGGACGGAGGCAGCCGTTTAACAAGCTGCGTTAGAAAAAGCTGAGCAAGTAGCTTGGATGTTGCGTAACGATCTTGTGGGTGAAAATTTTCCTCTCTGTCAAAAGCCGGTAATAAAGGAACTGAACCTCGCTCCCTAAACCGCGCCCAGGAAGCAGTGTCCGATGAAACATTTACTAAACGCGCGGGCTGCTGAGCCGAATTTTTGTCCCTCAAAACTGGTAGTATGAGGATAGTGAGTAGCGCGAGTGAGAAATAATTGACCTGGATGATCTCCTCGTGTCCGGTCTTCTCGTTTATCGCGAACGACAGCCTAGTAAAGCCTGCATTGTTGACAAAGAAATCTAACCGCTCAAGGCTTTTGGTTCGCTCCACAAAAGAAACAATGGAACCGTAGCATAGAAGATCCAGCTTCCAGACCTCAATGGAGTGGTTATCAGCATTTCTTCCCGAAAGTAGCTTTTCCCTTGCTTCTTCGCCCTTTGTTTCGTTGCGAACAGCAAGAATGAGCTTGCTTAGACCAAGATTCAGAAGCTGCTGTGCACATTCAAATCCAAGACCGGTGTTTGACCCGGTGATAATGGCTGTTTTCCCTGCAAGATCTACTTCATCGGAAGAGGCCAGGGGTGGCGTGGTGAATAGTTGGCGTTGATAAAAAGCGAGCGAAGTTGCCCGCTTCTGGATAACAGCCGTATCAAAACTTGTCATGATGGGGGTATTTTCACCTCCCTAATCAAGAGATCAATGAAAGCAAATCAGTAATTATTTGGAGATTGAATCTCTGTTTTTTTTGCGGGGCTGACGACTGAACAAGAGTATCTAGCGGACTCAGGGCAAACGCTTGGCCTGGGAGTCGAGTATTGAGGTGCCCGCATGGCCATTTGTGTAACTCATCCTCATGATTCTCCCTTCTTCCAGTGTCGAGGGACACTAGAAACGTCTTCTCTCTCTGTAATCGTAGACCCGAGTATACGAATGCTTGGTCATTGGAACCGATGGTCCAAAGTAACTAATTTTGATGTCTAACTAATCGTCAGTTAGTTACTGCACCAATCTGTTTGTTGAATTGTAATGAGCCCACGAATAACAATTAGTAGATGGCTATGAAGTTAAACCAGCAAATACTATTCACTGAATTCATTTTCAAAAGGAAATCAGATCCAGGTTTCTCATCTTTTGTTTCAATATCATGAAGCTCGCTCAGGAAGAGGAAGAGAGAGAGGGATATCCAAAAAGGGGAAAGTGCTTATTACTTAAGCAGAAAAGCGGCTCAAAGTCACATGAATCCCACGTGGATTATCACATGACGCATTAGTGATAAGCATTACACTATTCTATTTTCGGTAACATCAACACCGGGCTTACATCCGGCCGACGCCCGAAAAGACCACCTGGCCCGTTGATTCGAGCTTGCGGCGGCTTTTCTTTTGAAGCTGCGAGCGCAACAACATCTACATCGTCACTCTTCCTCCAGGTCACAGCAACGTCCTCAGCTGGCGTTCTCCCCTCCGGCTTCACTACGACCGAATTGTTGACCGAGCGGCTCTTTTATACTCGCTCGTTTGCTCGGAATAGCCTCCCCACCAATCTCGATCTCAACTACTTTTTTTTTTTGCGGGGAAGATCTCACTAACTATCTTTTACCGGTATCCTCCTCCCCCTGCGGATCGTCGCGAAGAGCATAGCCTTTGCTCATACACTCCGGCTCTGAATATATACTGTCACTGTCTATGGGGGGATCGCACAAGCGGAATTGAGTGGCTGATTTTACCTTTTTTCTGGTTCTCGTCAGCTTTTGACCAGCTTCGATTTGTCAGCGTAAAAATTCCCTTGAGGACACGGTACAAGATTGGAGCTCCGAGACTTAAATAAACTTGTGGCCTCTTCTCCTTCTCGCGCCTGGCGCAGAGCTTGAAGAAAGATAGACGACCATGGAGCGTTCGTTCCTTTCCACTCCTCAGGAGGTGCTGGCGCACTTCGGGGTGACGGAGGATGCGGGATTACCGGAAAGCCAGGTTGCTAAGAATCGAGAGAAATATGGCTCCAATGGTGTGTAACTATCGCATGAGAGAAGAATGTGGCTTGTTGTATTGTCTTGCTAACCCATTGTTACATTCAGCTCTCGAAGAAGAACCTCCGACACCTCTGTGGCAGCTCGTTCTAGAACAGTTCAAGGACCAGCTCGTTATTATACTGTTAGGATCAGCTGTGGTATCATTTGTGTTGGCCTTATTTGAAGAGGGTGAGGGTTGGACTGTCTTCGTGGATCCCATAGTTGTAAGTGTTATTTTATGGGATTGTTGGATGCAAGCGCTAATGTAATATAGATCCTTACTATCCTTATCCTCAATGCGATTGTTGGTGTATTCCAGGAAAGCAGTGCTGAAAAGGCTATTGCAGCCCTTCAGGAATACTCAGCCAATGAAGCCAAGGTTGTCCGTGACGGTGCTATCCATCGCATCAAGGCTGAAGAGCTTGTTCCTGGTGATATTATCTCGGTAGCTGTGGGTGATCGCGTCCCAGCTGACTGTAGATTACTCACTATTCAGAGCAATAGCTTCCGTGTTGATCAGGCTATTCTGACTGGCGAGAGTCAAAGCGTTTCCAAGACTACAAACGCGATCAAGGACCCCCAGGCAGTGAAACAAGACCAGATCAACTTGATCTTCTCCGGCACGACTGTTGTTACTGGCCATGCTACCGCTATTGTGGTTCTTACTGGCGCCAACACTGCAATTGGTGATATTCATGAGAGTATAACTGCCCAGATTTCGGAACCTACCCCATTGAAGCAGAAACTAAACAACTTCGGAGACTCCTTGGCCAAGGTTATCACTGTCATATGTATCCTTGTTTGGTTGATTAACATCGAACATTTCGGTGACCCCAGTCATGGAAGTTGGGCCAAGGGAGCTATTTACTACCTAAAAATAGCTGTCTCTTTGGGTGTGGCCGCTATTCCGGAAGGACTCGCGGTTGTCATCACGACTTGCCTTGCTCTTGGAACCAGGAAAATGGCTGCTAAAAATGCCGTCGTCCGATCCCTCCCTTCTGTTGAGACTCTTGGAAGTTGCAGTGTTATCTGCTCTGATAAAACCGGAACTCTGACTACCAACCAAATGAGTGTCTCCCGTATTGTTTATTTGAATGAGGCTGGTAACGGTCTTGAAGAGATCGAAGTCGAAGGCACTACCTTTTCCCCTTATGGTGACCTCAAGCAACATGGAAAGGTACTCAAGGACTTGGCTGCATCATCTACCACAATCCAACAGATGACCGAAGTTATGGCCCTTTGCAACGAAGCTGAACTTGCCTATGATACAAAGACTGGCACCTTTAGCAATATCGGCGAGCCCACTGAAGGTGCTCTCAGAACATTAGCCGAGAAAATTGGAACCGATAGCGCCGCTATTAATGCTAAAATCAGAAGTCTACCGCCCGCTGAATGTGTTCATGCTGTCAGCAAACATTATGAGACTAGATTACCAGTCCAGGCCACATATGAATTCTGCCGTGACCGCAAAAGCATGTCCGTCTTGGCCGGAAAGGGAAGAAGCCAGAAACTTCTTGTCAAGGGCGCTCCCGAATCGATACTTGAACGATGCTCTCATGCGATTACTGGACCAAACGGAAGTAAGGTTCCTCTCACGAAGAAGCATGTTTTGCTGATCCAACAAGAGGTCGCCGATTACGGTGACCAGGGGCTCCGTATCATTGCCATCGCCAGCATCGTCAACGTTCCTGAAACAACCTCGCTGCATACCGCTCAGACCTCAGAGGAATACGAGAAACTTGAACAAAATATGACACTGATTGGCCTTGTTGCCATGCTTGACCCTCCGCGACCAGAGGTTCGTGCATCCATCGAGAAGTGCCGTGAAGCAGGTATTCGAGTTATTGTCATCACAGGAGATAACCAACATACTGCTGAGTCCATCTGTCGTCAAATCGGAATATTCGGTAAAAATGAAGACCTTCGTGGCAAGAGCTTCACTGGCAGAGAATTCGACGAACTGAGCGAGCAAGGGAAACTCGAGGCAGCCAAGAATGGCATGCTCTTCTCCCGTACTGAGCCAACCCACAAGTCAAAGCTCGTGGATCTTCTACAGTCAATCGGCCATGTTGTGGCCATGACTGGAGACGGCGTTAACGATGCCCCTGCGTTGAAAAAATCAGATATCGGTGTTGCTATGGGCTCTGGAACAGATGTTGCTAAACTTGCAGCCGATATGGTGCTTGCAGATGATAACTTCGCTACTATCGAAGTTGCCATCGAGGAGGGAAGATCCATCTACAGCAATACCCAGCAATTTATCCGCTACCTTATTTCTTCAAACATTGGAGAAGTCGTTTCCATCTTCCTTACAGCGGCTCTAGGGATGCCCGAAGCTCTGATTCCTGTCCAGTTACTGTGGGTCAACCTTGTGACCGATGGTCTTCCTGCAACGGCCCTGTCATTCAACCCAGCAGATCATGATATCATGAGACGTCCACCACGTAAAAGGGATGAGCCTCTTGTTGGAGGTTGGCTGTTCTTCCGCTACATGGTCATTGGGATCTATGTTGGCGCTGCAACTGTCTTTGGTTATGCCTGGTATTTCATGTTCAACCCAGAGGGCCCCCAAATTTCCTTCTGGCAGTTGGTAAGTTTAACATTTTTCTTCAACAAATCAACAATCTTAAACCCAATCTAATGCTGATCTCTACCTTTAGTCGCATTTCCACAAATGCTCCAGCGAATTCTCCGAGATCGGTTGTGACATGTTCAGCAATGACATGTCGAAGTCCGCCTCCACCATCTCTCTCTCCATTCTCGTTGTTATTGAGATGCTGAATGCCATGAACGCTCTCTCTTCCAGCGAATCTTTGTTTACCTTCCCTCTGTGGAACAACATGATGCTCGTCTACGCTATCATGCTCTCCATGTCCCTCCACTTCGCCATCCTATATATTCCCTTCCTGCAAAGTTTGTTCAACATCCTACCACTTAACTGGCTGGAGTGGAAAGCTGTTCTGGCCATCAGTGCGCCGGTCATTGTTATCGACGAACTTTTGAAATATATCGAAAGGGCCCTTTACGTGACGCACGTTACTCCTAACCATGAGGCTGAGTCCCAAAACGGATCTAACATGAAGCCAAAAGCGTCATGAAATCAAGTGTAGTAGTGTTGTGGTGGAATGCTCTTTGGACTTTGATGTACGTCCTATGATTGAAGAATCTCCATTCTTCCAAACAATGTTCTCCAGTCCTGCTATCACCCAAATTCCTCGCCCAGTCAGTGCAAGAATACCCTCTTCCGAGCGAGAAAGAAGGAGCGCGAGTAAAATGGATAGGGAGGAAACACAGCGGGGAAACAAGACATTGATATTATAAGCTTCTACCGTGCTTGGTTTTGGCTTTGGTTTGATTTTCCATTATTTTAGAAAATAGATTCATTTTCAGCCATAAAGGTGGAGAGGGACACGTTTTTATTTTATTTTATTTTTATTTTTATTTTTATTTTTATTTTTATTTTATTTTTATTTTTTTAAGATCCCTACGAGTTCTCACGAAGTGTAAGCTATTTGTGATGAAGTTATATAGTCGTGATACCAATGGACATATTTAGAGACATTTCGTGTGTTCACTCGACCGAGCTCCATATGGTGGTGGACAAAATACTCGGTCGATTATTTCCGCTTACCAAGCGCCTCTACTAGCCGTGAAGGAACCATGGTAACGGAGGTGATCAGCGCCTCTACATACTTAAAATAATACGAGGTCAGGGACATCGATGTAACTGAAGTAGCATTTTGATGCTTGGGCCGAGGTAACTAAAGAAGCGAGCCTCTCGTGGGAGTGAGGGTAGTGACCTGAACCAACTTCCCTGTCACACGAAGTAGTTACCCCTGAACCTAAAAGGAAATCCTAAATTACTTCGAAAAGAGAGGTAGGAGTTAACAAGCGAAGAAGTGGTCCTCAATTCGCAATAAGCTAATAAAATGGGGAAGCTAAATACTATGTACTGATGGGGTACATCATAAAGAAATAAGTAATATGTGCAGGGTTTTGATATATCCAAAAGGTTTGGCACTCAACCAGTTGATGCAATCAGGTTAGGTCAAAAATGTACTGGGAAGAAAAATGGTTGAACGTCAAGTTCGGAGAGAGAGTGTGAATAAAGGGGTATAGGGTATTTACTGGCCGCTTCCGTTGTAGAGGAGGCGGTTGGTGGTGCTGGAACCAGGGTTGCGGATGGCAGCGGTGGCGAGCTGCTTGAGGCGGTCGCAGACCTGGCGGGGGTCGGCGCCCATTCCAATCATGTAGGCACCCATACCAGCGACGTGGGGAGAGGCCATGGAGGTACCGGACATGGTAGTGCTGCCACCACCTGGGCGAGCAGCAATGATGTCGGAGCCAGGAGCATAGATGTCAACTGAAGTAATGTTAGCTTTTAGCTGTGGAAGGTATTATGGGGAAGAAACATACCAACTGGGCCCCAGTTGGAGAAGGAGGATTTGCTGTCGTTGATGGTAGAAGAGGCGACGGTGCAGACAGCTGGAGCAGAGGCAGGGGAGTAGTTACGGGCGTCTCTCTGTAGAGGGGAAGAGATGTTAGTATACCGATAATGAAGTATAGTTCTGCTACCGTATAGGTCATATAGGTCGAACTCACGTTGTCATTACCAGCAGCGACGGCAACGAAGATACCGGCGTTCTGGGCACGAGTAACAGCATCGTTGTTGGCCTGACTGAAGCCACCACCGAGAGACAAGTTCATAGCAGCCTTTCCGAGGATACCACGCTGTTGAGCATCCTGGACACAGTAGTTGATACCAGCAATGATTCCACTGGTGCTACCAGAGCCATCAGAGCCAAGGACCTTAACGGCAACAATGTTGGCGTTCTTAGCAATACCATAAGCAGTACCAGCGAAGGTAGATGCAGTGTGGGTGCCGTGGCCGTGACGATCAGCGTTATCACGGTCAGCGGTGTTAGTACCCCAACGAGCACGTCCACGGAAGTCCTGGTGGTTAATATCAATACCGGTATCAACACCGTAGATGGTGACACCACGGCCGGCGGAGTCGTCGAAGACGTAGTCACGGCTACCAGCCTGTCGGTGAGAGACACGTCCGAGACCCCAGCTGGGAGCACTGCGCTGAGTGACAAGGCCAGAGATTCTCACGACCTGGTCCTGCTCAACGTAATCGACCTATTCACCTTATTAAAATCTTGTTCTGATAGAGAATGGTATTCGATCGAGAAGAACAAACCTTGGAGTCATTGAGGATCTCCTCGAGGGTGTCGCGGTCGAAGTGGCCGTGGTAACCTCTCCAGTTCATGATGTCGAATTCGCGCTTCATGCCCTGAGTGTTGGTGCCTCGCTTGGCCTTGTTGGTGCTGTGGATGCTGGCGACGGAGGAGATGTGGGCCTTGAAGTCATCTTGGGAGACACCATCCTTCATGACAACAATGTAGTTGTCTGGAATCATTTCGCTGTTCTTGTGGCCCTGAGTCTTGAAGACTGCGCGGGCATCAGCGGCAGCGAATGCCGCAAGGAACACGGACAGAGTCTTAAGGCAGACCATTTTGATGGCTGTGTATTAGGGGATGTAAAGGATAGGAGGGTATTCAAAGGAGTGGAAGGTCTCTGTTTGCTAATGGAAAAGAAGAGAGCAAAGGGTATCAAGCTGGAGGGCACAAGAGCCAATTTATATAATTTCATCCCGTGTCTTCCATCTTCATTTCAAGAATAGCACGATTAGAGAGGGGGGTGGCTGTTTCCGCGCTCCTCTCTTACCAAGGCCGACAGGTACCAAAGGATGGAAGTAGATGCCCGTAAGTTGTCAGGATATCCCTTGAAAGATAGTTCCACAGGTCGAAACAGAAGAAGAGAGGGCTATATCACGGCAAGATGCGGCATAGCACAGAGATCAAGAGCTGGCCATAGCTGACTCTGCGATACCTCGGCCTCGTAAAAAAAGAAAGAAAGGAAAAGAAATTCGGTGTATCTGGGTATCATTTTGCTGCTAGAATGATAGCGAGATATGGCAGGGATACCAAGCACTACCAAGAGTTTCATCCATCATTCGGATGACTTGTTTTTTCCCCACAGGGTACCGAGTCATTGATTAAGAATTGCCGTTAGTTGGCGACCCCATGGGGTTTTGACAGCGCATGCCGTATAGCACCGAATGCATTGTATGCGCCAAGTGATAGTAGGGTGTCAATATGTTGTGATGTTGAGCTTTCTATCAAAGGGACCCCGTTCAAGGTTTGCTGGGGGCCTTCGGGAATATGGCTGATAACAGTGAGTGACCGAACAGTTGAGAGTTTCAGGAGCAACCCCGTATCCTTGGCCATTTGGAAAAAACCGAAGCGCATGACTAATATCTCGATGTCTGCCCTATCAACATGCTTTATCTGAAATTAGGGTATCAAGGGCCTAGGGTGTGGTATGGGGAATATGCGCCATGGTTTGCGATTTTGGTGCTCAGGATGAGGCAATCGATGTTCCCCCCAGGGCGCAAATACGGCTTCTGCACCAATAGGGGACTTCCGTTTCGACTGACCATAAACTGCGGTTATCCCGGTGCATGAACTATACTCTGGACTTTTAAGAAGCTCGTATATTAGAGAGTTCAAACAGCCTCAAATGACCTGAGCTAAGTATTCGATACTAAAGGTTGCCCCTCAGAATTGTGATAACAATTGCATGATTCCGCGACTGTTTCCCGTCAAGGGGCCCATGTATGAACGGAGAATGTCCTGATAGAGACTGGCCTGGCAGAAATGAGGGGAAGCCCTGTGGAATTAGACACATACGGCCCCTTTCAACGGCTTTCCTGCATAGTGAAAGTATACCTCTTTGCTCTTCTCAGGTCACCGCCGTCTTGTTCTGCTCTGTTGATATGTTTCGATAGCGATGTAGAAATAAAATGAGCCGGATCATCGTGGATCGACGAGATTAGGCGCGAGCCGAAGAACCCGTCGCTCCCAGCTTTAAGATCGGCCTGAAAGATCAACTGGGAGAAGGGTACCAACCCGACCGGACTCTCACTGCTGCTGATCCAGGTGATCCTGACTGAGCTTGTTGCGACCTTGCGAGTCGCTGGTCGCTAGGGCTGATATTGCGCTTTTCCTCTTTGGGCCCGGAGCCCGGGGAAACTTGGCACCGCATGGTCACGTTACTAGGTTGCTTATTAAGGTCCACTGGGCGGTCTGCTTCTACACCAAAACATCAGGCCAAACAGGCTGTCACTGGTTGACAAAACAACGAGCAGCATCTTTGACGTCTCCATCCTCGTCCACCCACAGGACCAACCGATGGCCTGGCTGTCTTTTGCTATCCGCCAGCCAGAAAGGGAAAACAGGGGGTCAGGGTTTATTCTCAGACAGCTTATCCGGAGGACCAGCCTGGGGAAGTACCAAGACTTCCCCATTGCAACATCAGGAGTGACTTGCCACCCGCTAAAATTGATTAGCTGATACTTACCTACTCCATATCTCCATATATACTGATGTCGACTGAGCCACGCTAATTAAAAAAGAACCATGTCTAACGAAATCCACCTACGGCTTCCATCCAGGCTCTCCTCGCCTGCTGCTGCGACTGCTGAGACTACTGCTTCTGCTGCTTCTTTCCATGCTAGTTCGCCGGGAATATCAAGTACTATCCCGTTGATCGGGACATGGTACGCCCTGAGCTCTTCGGTTGAGTTTTTAAGGGATAAGAAAAACGTGTCCATTAAATATTCCCTGAAAGAACCAGGCCATGCTAAAGAGGCCGGTGGTAACGTCGTTGAATTTGCAAATGATACTGTCCTTGACTCGGTAACTTCTTACCAATTGCTATCGGGGGAGGGCTCTGATATTGTTGATACCACCGTGGGGACTGAAAGACCAACCCCAAATTCCCTCCCTGGTGTATTTACTTGGCGAGGCACCGGCTTCGCCAAGTTTATAACCAACCGATGGGAAATTTTGGGTTATGGCAATCTTCCACTTGAGAGCAGTAAGCCTATACAGGAAGGTGACGAACAGCCTATGTGGATGGTCATATATGCGGATAAGTCTATGTTTAGCCCGCCGGGACTAAGCATCCACTCAAAAGGCACCAAGTCACTTCCAGCCCAGACTATGGACCAGATAAGAGCTGCCTTGGGTAATCTTCAACCCAAGGAGTTAAAAGACTCTGTCCGTGGTATGGTTGATATCTTGCAAGAGTGATTTTGGTCATACTTTCCCCCCTCTTGTTTTATAATTTCCTCCCTTCACTGAATGATATCTTACCCTTGCCTTTTTTTTATCGTGTTTTCTTTTTCTGTTACTCCGTTCATTCCCTTGTTTTTCGGGTTATGAGAATTTTTGGCATATCTGTGTATACATCGCGATAGCGTTTTTTTTTTTTTTTTTTTTTTTCCCTTGGCTTCGTCTCAGGTATAACTCACAAATTAATACTCCGCTCGGAGTATATGGCACCAGTAACTTTGTACAGACCAAAGCGTGATACGGAGTGCTATTTCCGATTCCTTAAGAGATCAATGATTGTGGCGTTATTCTCTCACCATTCTGTTTTACATCGTCTATACCCTTCATTTCCACGTGCATAAAATTCCGTTTCATTTATTTTGAAACTGCCCTCCTGGCAGGGCTGGCAGTGAAACACAGCCGAACAGCCACTTGGAAAAAAGAAAATAGAAACATATTCTAGACCTTTGGCTGTGTTTTCATATTTACAGAAGCCGAACATGGGACCAACAATTTGCTTTTCAAATAAAATTATGAATCTACATTTTGCTGCAGCGTGGCTTGGCCCACGCGGCAAGAAAGTCGGTATATTATCTACGGAGTACGCCGTACCCTCACAAAGGCCATCTATCGGCCCGGACTCAAAGGAAATGCATACCTGTTGGCGGCTATCATGGCACCATGAATTCAACAGTTAATATCCTACAAAATAGGAATGATAATGATGCCGGTCAATCTCGAATCCCTGGGTACTAGCCCCAAATAAGCAGATTGAACTGTCTTGGTCACCAGGACGTCCCAGCAGACGCTTCATGTTCCATTATTAGCTCGCACTTCTGCTCATGTTAATATTATATTAAATGTTCTTTGGAAAGCAGAGTGGGATTGTTTCCTGGGATCCATTTGGAGCGTTGGGGTTAGTTATCTCGTGCTGGATCGACATGTGCCCTATCCACATAAGATAATATAACGACGTTACTATCAACGAACTGGGGCCCCTTCCGGGGACTCATGCACCTTCTCAGTTTCTGCTAACTACACCAAGTCATCAACTGGACCGTATACGACATGCATAGATGTCTCACTGATGATCATCAGCTTGCATGGAAAACATCTTCCTCGATATCAGGGAACAGGGGCGTTGAAATGAAGCTGTTCCCCAAGGTGTCGGCCTTATTTATCCTTGAGTATCTGATATTAACTCGCAATCGGATATATTGACCGGGTAGTTGTATCAAAGGCTGTTCCTGGGCTGCGGGTGTGCCATGCCAATGCATGGATTGGCTGCATAGTGCAAAGTGTGACCAAGCGAAAAGTCACAAAATTAACTCAAACCCTGGCTGTTCTCTCTGTCTGCCAGCTTCATAGAGTCCCAAGCAGAACGGCTGCGTATGGAGAAAATAAGAGGAAGACTCCACCCACAGTATGAAGCTTCACCCAGATATTCAGGGGGTGTACTCCATATCTTCAACCTGATATAATTTCGTTCTTCCAGAAACAGCCACGTGCGAATACTATGGATTACTACCCTCAACAATGCAGAATATTGAAGGTCTCAAGGGAGCCATCGTTTTTGGGCATCAACACCTCTGAAATACATCCGCATCCATACCCAGGCAGGCTCCTGTTGCATCCAGGCTTCCCCATGCCTCATTAAGATGCAGAGAACTGCATCGCATCCTGGGTTATATTAGGTAAGTGATTATAACTAATCTTTCCGCGGGAAAAGTGGTGTCATAGGAAGCAATAATTTGCTCCAAGTACTATCGTATCGTGCGTGTCCATGCTCCCAAGGTTGCTATCTCTCCGTTGACTTCGTAAACAATACACTAAAGGGCGTGTTGTTGCTGGACTTCCATGGCAAGACATGAGATCGAATAATAATAATAATGTCTAGAAGAATCAGCAGATTGATACCCACAGAGATCGACACTACAAGGTATAAGTCGCCCAATATAGCGTATAACGCAGGTGCCATATGACGAGGATAGCTTCAATTGGTGCTGCGGGGATCGACATACGTAACTATGTGCTGAAGAACAGTGGAACTGAGAGAGAAAAATTTTCAGAGTCCAAGCTCAATGGGAGTCTCCTGCCCAACTTAAAGAGGGAATAATTTTGCTGCGAATATTTGCTTAACATATAAACGGACGGTTGGTGTCGTTGATATATCGGTTGTCATGCCTTGTTCGTGTACATGGCACTGGCGACATGCGAGAATACATCAGGTTCATATCAAATGCATCTTAGACAGATCCTCGTCCTTTGTATGCTGCGAGCTGTTACGCTGAGAAAGTTGCCATCGAGTAGAGGAGCTTCTGCTGGTGCGGGAGTTTTAAAACTTATTTAGCTGAAATTGTGAACCCTTCGTATGAATTGGGTCAGCGAATATGTGAGCACCAGATACTTGATGACAGCTGGGGAAGAGCTGCTTTGCCGTTAGACGGTATATATATGTGATTGTAGTCATGGGTAAGGGTGGTCCGAGAGAAACGAATTTCCTAAACACCGAAATCACCAACATTATGGGACGGGGATGAGCATTTTGATGATGCTAAATGGAATGATAGAGTCGTCTTGCCCAGAATTCACACGGTACATCAGTGGGTAAACATATGTCGGGGAAGACCATATCATGAATGCACAAACCCATACAAAACCAACACATTTCTCCAGAAGGTAGCTTCCGCGAGACCTATCTTTGACCATGAAGTTGTAGTATATGCCGACAATTATATCTTCAATCACAATCCCGAATGCTTGGGTTAGGAAGAATCTCGCTGCCCCAGAACTAGTTAACGATAGGCCAGATGCCACGTCAACTAGAACATGCATCAATGCAGAAATCGCGAATATGGTAACCAGCCTTGCATATCGGTATAACTGAGTTCCACGAGAAATACGTAGGACACGTTGCACGATAAAACTGGATACGGAAGCGAACTTCGCTGCGTTGGTTTGCTGCCAGAATACTCTATGGGAATGGATTAGCAGATTGAACTTTGTGAGAATAAACTAAATAACAGGGACGCAGATTTCTTACGCCCATGTTCTTCTCAATGTAAAGGCCTGAGAAAGAGATCCAAAGTATGGAGGCCATTCCCGCGGTTCGCTGATACCCAAAAGTACACTAAAGAATCCAACAAGGCTGTAAAAGCTTCTCTGGACGCATATCATGATCAATCCTGAGATAATGGTGTTTATCACCCGCATCACTATCTCATCGCTCGATATATTCGGCAGCCGTGTGAAAAATGGAACATTCTTTTGAGTAAAGTATTTGAGGTTGGTATCTATATCGACTTTGAATGTAATCAAATCAAGAAAGAGGTAGCACGCAGCATAGAGAAAGGCTGTCCATATCAAGAATCTCGATCGAGATGGGACATACTCCGGATTCTTGTCACTGAACCGTGGTACATTCTTGACTTGATAGGGGGTTCCAATATGGCGAAATGAGCAAGTTGCGGCAAGACCAAACTTCAAACGTTCCCAGGTATTGTCCGTTCGATCCTTCTTGGGATAATTGGGTATATTTTCACCGGTACCAGGATCTGTTGATGGACCACCAGCTTCGAAGGACCAGCCTCGGAGTAGCACAATATCAAGGTAGTGCAGAAAGAACGTAATGGTATACGCTCCTACCAAACCAGCCCAGGGACATCGTATCATGTAGTCCATGCTAGTTGTGATGCATCTAAACGTGCAGAATGTGAGGATCGGTGCCACAGCCAGGCGATAGATGGAAGACGGCCTTGTGAAACCCACCGCAAGAGCGGAGCTAGCAACCACCGCTCCACCGAGAAGAATTGGATGTATTTCCATGTTCGGGGTATGGCTGAAAAGCAGTCGGCATAAATTATGATTAGCGCCCAAGGGAAAAGAGAAGGATGCTCTTTTCTACGAACGGTAGGAGAACTTCCTTTTTATACCCCTTATCGGCGCCTAACATCGATGGATTGACACTTTTAGCTTGTGGATATAGTTGAACCCAACTGCATCGATTCCGTACATCAAGCTTTCTATTGGTGGAACAGGTCGTCGAATTGGGACTAGAGCATGAAGCGCGACTTTTTAGCCGTGAAGGATCAGGCTTTAGTTCCTCTAGCCTTGTAGGATGCGGCATCCTGCAACGCAACGTGTTTTGTGTAACTTGTATTGTGGAAGATCTATCATTAGCGAGTGAGTACTCCGTAGACATCACAGCTCAAGAGAGTGGAAGTTGACAATCTAAAGCGAAATAAATAAACCAACACTTGGGTGGCATAATTGGGCATTCAGTTTCTTATATCGAAGAACGCATCAAAAAGGGACGTAAATGGTAATAAAGAAGTAACTGGGGATTAATAACAGCAGGCTGGTATCTAGCTGGGGCGCTTAGCCAATATTCCTCTGGTCATTAAAATTCCAAACATAACCCAAAAACCAAGGTATCAGGGACCAAAGGAAACCAAAAGTAAAAACAAACAAACAAAAGGGGCATGAACGACATAAAAGGGACATCAAGTAACTCTAGGCAAAGGCCTTTGCTAGTGACATCAACCCGCTGACACCACCAGCTATTCCTTCCCCGCTGAGAGGGTCATGATTACCACCACCACCACCACCTTTGGATAGAGCTGCTAAGCCGGGTATCCTGATTCCGACCGAGGCCAGCAACTTCTGCAACACCCCGCCCGTTATCAAAGGCAATATAACGAGGAAAAACACCTTCATCGGATGTCTCTTCATATAATGCATGATGTCCCTGAACAACTTCTTGATCTTGCGCATCATGCGATGAACAAAACCGGCCCGAGGCTTCGCGCGGCGGGACGACGAGCCAGCTGAAAAGATTGACGAAGCCATTGAGCGGTTTGCGTGTGATCCAAGTCCAAAGATGGAGCCCTCCGAGGGACGGGTGCTTCCGTTATGGTGGCTGTGGCTATAGCTGTGGCCGTTACCGTAGCTTGAGCCGACGACGGACGAGGATGAATGGT